TTGCCACCTGCCCCATCTTCCTGGCCTTCTTCTAAGGAGTCTTTCAGATTAGCAATATTGTCTGCACTCCCAAACTTGTTCCTTATGAGGGAGGCAATCTCCCGGGGTTTGGAAACCACAGCTCCTGCTGCTGAATGTGTGGCCTGGGAGAAACTGGAAAGTCCACCTTTTACACTGTCTACCACTCCCTCACTGAAGCCAGTGACTTTTGCTCCAACATCTTTCAAACCCTGATGCATATCCCTGAAGACATCCTTTGGCTGCCGAGGGATCCCATTCTGCTCAATCTCTCGCAGCTTTCGATGGTAATGTTCCAGTTTCTTCTGCAGCTGCAAGATGGTCTGGGCTGACTTTTGATTTTTCTTCTCAAACACTTGCTTAATGCGGGCACTCTGCTGCTTGTCTGCATTGTTGGCCAACTTCAGGTACTCTGCCACGTTGTCATCACGGGCAGTTTGCTCAATTTTGATCTGCTCTGTCAGCTTCAGTATCTTCTGCTGCAGGTGTGTGATGGCCACTTTTGTCCGCTGTGGATCTGGGGTCCCATCAACAGAGTCTGCATTGATGCTGCCATCAGTGCTGGAGGCCACGGCACTGGAGGTCTGCGCCAAGCTGCTGACTTCCAATCGCTCAATCTAAGCACAGAGAGAGAGAGAAACATGAGCGCTAATCAGTAGCTTCACCAACAGAAAAGCTTTCCTTCTTTATGCCAACCAACTTGGCAAAAGGATATAATTCTGAAAAAAGGTACCTTTTTTCAGCTGGCCAGGAGACCGTATCAATCAGGAGAGCTTCACATATTTTACAGAGATCAGCAAAAGTTTAAAAAAAAGCAAAACCTCTCATACTTGATTCCACTTATCACCTCAAACAATTCAAAACTCAAGCACAAATATGCAACAGGGCACCCCAGTTTGGCAGACCAAGTACTCCAAGATATCAGTACAAGGGCAGGGGCTCAACTAGCTAGAGTAGAGACCAAGATAGCTAGAGAGCTAAGAGACCAAGAAGGTAATTGAGAGCAGAAGCCACACGGTTTAACTCTACAGTACAGCAACTCGAGTCATTCCTAGTGCTTCACCTGTCTGAATTGCAGCAACAGTGAAACCCACCTACAAGCACTACTACGGTCAGTGCTTGTAACAGAAAAATGGAGCCTGAGAGGCACCCGAATGCACGCCTTGCCGAAGCAACCCCTGCGAGCAGGCGTCTCCGAGTGGGAGGAAAATAGTGAGTTTCAAAGGACAAACCCCACGTATGAAGAAAAGGAAAAAAAAAAAAGTTACATGCTGTTCCAGCGCAACCCAACCCGCCAAGTACCCGCCGCGAACCGGGCAGGCAGGTGCGGCCGCACCGGCGGCTCCTGACCCGGGCATTCCTCCCTGGAGCCGACCACGCTCCGATCCCGGCCAGCGGCGGGTCGCGGCCTCGGTGGGTCCTGCGGCGGAGGAGGGCCCGCGGTGCCCGCCGTACCTTGTCCCGGCGCGGCGGCAGCGCCCGCTCGCCGTGCATGGCTCCCGCCGGCCGCCCGCGGCCCGGGCACGGCCCCGCCCGCACCGCCCCGCACGGCCCGGCCCGGCCCGGCCCCGCCCGCACCGCCCCGCACGGCCCGGCCCGGCCCGGCCCCGCCCGCACCGCCCGCCCCCTCGCGGCCCGGAGGCCTCGCCGGGCCGCGGAGCCCGAGCCGCGCGCGTCCCGCAGGGAGTCTCCCTGAAAGGGTTTTAAACGGAACGCGTCCTCTGCATCCCGCGGCCCTGTCCCGGCGCGCACCGATGGGCAGCCGCGACTGCTGCCCGCACGCTCCGCTCCCGCGGCTCAGCACGGACCAGCCGGCAGCTCCCCGGCTCTTCCACTGCAACAGCTGCCGGCTGACCCACCGCTACTGCCCACTCGCAGAACCATGTCCGTGTTTTTGAATATGCGCTTTACAAAACAAAAATGTTGTTTCAGTTAACTGTACCCTCTCTCATGATTAATCATTCCATATTTAATGCAAAAAACCCGGCAGGCTGCAACACTGGCCAGCGCTGGGGGTTAGCCAGGCTCCTTCCCATAACCTTGAAGTTCTCTGTTGTCCCATCAAGAGGAAAACCAGACACCTGGGAAAGCAATTGATTCATTTTCTAAAGGAGTTTAGCTGCTGGAAACCACAGAATATAATTTCTCAGTCTATTGTGACTCCTGAAATATAAACTGCTTTCTTAAGAGGGTTTAGTTGTAGAAACCCAATGGAGCTCTGGGTGTTGATCTGGGTAGATCAATGGAAAATTGGTGCTAAGAATTAATATTAATCAGTGGGACCAACATTATGCATGACATCAGTACTGTGAACGTGCTGTCTCTGAGATGTAGGGACGTGCATTTGGAAGTAATACACATTTGTAAAGATACCTCTTCTTGGAATTTGTAATTTCATTAAGATTTTTCCAGGGCTGTCAGTGATCAGATTTCTCCCTATGGCCTAGACGATCACAAAGACTCTGGCTGTGCAGGGCATGCCTGGCCTGGGAGCATCACCCAGCACCCATGGCACAGCTGGTCTGTGCCTCACCCACAGAGCAGCTCTGCCAACCAGCCGCCACCCCAAGAGCAGCACAGAGCATCTGTGCAGCACACCAAGACAATCATATTACTGTTAACTGCCTATGAACCAAGGGTTTCTCAATCCATTCTTAACAATCTCTACCTCCTCCAGAGCAAGGAGATTTTAGTATTGAACGGCAAACAAAAACCAGAAAGATCTACAGTTTTGATGCAAAACTTCCACAATTTAATTTAACTTATTTTTTATTTTTCTTTTCATAATTGATTTTTTTCTGGGCAGTGGTAAGGATGAGTGAGCATGGTGCTGACCTGGTGTCTCAGAACCAAACAACTGCTCATCACCAGTTCTTCTGCAGCCCAGAGGCTCTGAGATGAAATCTGCACAGATCAATGCCATAGGACTACTGTGGCTTTAACACTACTTTGCAGTAAAGAGTTTCTATCAGCTTAATTTGCTCCAGGTTTGGTCTAATTAGTGTGTGTGTATGGATAATTACCATACATTACACTAACAGTACACTCTTCCTCTCATGACACAAGTTTTGTGAGAGAAAAATTTGGAAGAAACTTTTTTCCCCCTTTCGACTTCAGCAAACCTGCCCAGGTTATCGCCCTACACCTGTGGTAGAAAATGAACTAGAACAGCAGTAATAGAATAAACCAAGTTGGGATAATTGCTTTATAATTACCAGCTGTGTGGGTATTATTCTGAAATAACAAAAAGGGTTATTTCCAATTAAAAAGGAAAAGGCTGAACAAGTGCAGTTCTAGAACAGAACTGAGATAATTTAAGTGCTTTGTCCATATACACAAGGCTTTGTAAGGGGAAGACTTAGCACAAACTGAGTCCCTGAGAAATGCTGATGACATATTACTGAATTTGAGATGACGGTCAATCTGTCCTGAAAAGACACTGGTAAATTAAACACTATAATGATCAATGCTTGTATAAGAATACAGGTTACAATCCAATAGTCAATCTCTCTGGCAATACAATTTTCCATTATATTTGACAGTCCAGTTAAGGAGAGCTGTGTGCCCTCCCACCAGGAGGTACACTGAGAACTACTTTGGCATTATGCCACAAACCAGACAAAATCATGCGAGGTGAGGGCCTTATGCTTTCTCTCTCTCTCAAGATCTTACCAAATTCTCAACTGTTAATGCTCTCAGGCTCTTCCTCCTGTACAAGCTTTCCAATGTCTCTATTCTGCAGTACACAACCCAAAAAGCACCTCATGATTCTGCCTTTTGGTGCTGCTGAAGATTAAATACAGCAGTTCCTTTAAAGGTATTTCACCCTCCTAAAACTCCTCCAGTAAAAGCATATACTGGTTATTCACCAAGAAGATGGATTGTTGCTTTTAAACACTCAGGGCAGCTGGCCTAAGCAAACAGCAGCTTTCAGAGCAAGCCTGCTTCAAAGGGGGCAACTCCTGCTTCCTCCTCCCTCCCCTTGTGAAGCCTGGAGCTTCAAAAGTGTGAAAATTGTGCTACTTAAAATAAACACATAAATGACAAAGTGAGACATGGGAGCTCAGTGAGTCTGCACAGCCCCAGAAAGGAGCTAACAGCACCAGAGGTGCCTGGGTTAATCACCTTCCCAGTGACTGCAACACCTGACTGGCAGCTAAAACTAACCATGAAAGCATTCAGAACTTGTTTTGCTTCCTTTTCCCACTGTGCTGAAGGCAATACAGTCATACAGGCAGAAAACCTATGAGACTCATAGAAAGTCATAGGTTTTAGACTTCCTGTTTGGAAACACCATTCAACAGCATCATTAGCACATGGCAGGGGCAGGGATGGACATAGGGACTTGGCAAACCCCTCCACACTAGGTGGACAGATGGTCTCCAGCCTCAGGCAGGTACAGGAGCAGAGACCCAAAATATCCAATGACAGTTACAAGTGAGTTGGTTTGTTAGTAAGTAAGATCTCTAATCACTGCCTTACAGAAAATAAAAATGACAGGGGAGAAAAAATCCCACCGTTCTTTGTGCCTGACCACATCTGCAGAGTAAAAGCACACCCAGGCCCTATTTTGTTGAATCTGCATTAAAAAATCTAAGTGCACATTTGAATAAACACACACAGAATCCCCAGCAGGTACAATGAAGAGATACTTAAATATCACAAATTACTATGAGGTACCCGTAACACATTAGATTAAGTGCCATCAACAGCCACGAGTCACCTCCCTGCATGCCACATACAGCACATGACTCTTGGAACACATGGGTTAACGTGGCACCAGCCCTGCTGTCTCATGAGCAGTCAGTGCTCTGCTCTTCTGGATCCAACAGTCATTCATACGGCACAACTTACCACAGGTCCCAAAGGAAACAAAAAAGTGTCACAAACTGCCTCACCCACTTGGGTGATGCAATAAGCTCTTTATGACCTACACATGATTGAGAATTAAGAGTGTTTTTCTAATGCTTTACTTTTCAAAGGTTGTTACTGAATCACAGATCAATTGGGGTTGGAAGAGACCTCTGGAGGTTACCTGGTCCAATCTCCTGCTCAGGCAAGGCCATCAAGATCCAGTAGTTGCCCAGGACCATGTCCAGAAAGCTTTTGAGTATCTCCCAGATACGACTTTCACATCCTGCATTTGTGGATCTGTCTGTACCAGAAAGTTGAATCTGTCTGCTGCAACATTGCCACCCATCTGATACCACCAAGTCTATGGGTCATTATTTATTTCTAGTTGCGTATTTCTGTGATTGCAAATCCTGTGCAACAGCATATGTAAGGGAGAATATTTCTGTTCATTCATCTCTCAGGTAAATACAGACAGAAGATCTAAATACCGCTGCACTGAACCATCCCTACAGACAACTGCTCACTCATACGTGGAGTCATTTATGAATCCACCTTCCCTCAGCAAGTGCTCAGAGTGCATACTTGCTCCCACTCCACAAAACATCTGCCTTGGATTTACTGTCAAGAAAAAGGAAAAGCAAAAAACATGTCTAGTGTGATTCCTTGTGACACACTGCAGTTATCCTGAAAAACTGTACTGACCGATTGAATCTTCAGAAGCTGCAGCAGCTTTGCTTTTTAACAGGCTCCAGCTACTCACCCACAGAAACCTATGGTCATCCTTGACATCAACTGTTCTGAGGTGTCTCTAACATGCTCCTAAATCCAAATCCAAATTAAACCTGGCTAAGGAAAGCACACAAACAGATGGACATCTCAAGGAAGTCTTGCTGTGTGTTTTTCGCAGAACAGCTCATTGTTTATATTATAAAATGGGGGCTTCTGAAAGTTATACAGCCTTTGCCTATGGGCAATTAACACTAAAAATTATGGGAATATTGCCATGGATATGGGTAAAAAAAAAAACCAACAGTGCAAAAACAAAAAAGGAAAAATTACTCTGAAAAATAGTCAAGAAAAAATTCCAGTACAATGCCTTTGCCTGCCTCAGACAACAGCTTGAGCAGGTAACCAACACTGTGATACTAAGAGGAAATGGCTTTACACCTTACTCACAGTAGTTAATCAGTCATGAGTGATGACTGTTGCAACAGGAATGCGCTAATGGTACACCTGCCAACACAGAGCCCCACAGGCCTGCTCTGCAGAGAGGGGAGAGGGGCTGTGGGCAACCACAAAGGGGTAACATTTCACACATGCTGCATGCAACTGGGCATTCCCTTTCTTTAGGGGCATCCACGCCAAGCAGTTCCCTGCCTAATCATGTACTGGCACAGCCTGGGGACAGACAGGACAGCAGCTCCCTCTAGAGCCAAGCTGCAAGCTCACCGGGAAGCAAGTGATAAGGTGCTTGGGGATGCTCTTACTACTTTCCGAAATGTGGTTCACCATTGTGTGGTTCACCATCAGGTCCGAGACAGCAGAAACACCACTGCAGGGAAAGGTGACCTGGGACTGCTTCACTTGGCACTGGTGCCAAGAGCAGCATCCCTCAAGCAATGGCCTGAGGCACACAAACAAGCCCTCAGCTTGGGATTTGGTAAAGCCAGCTTCAGAGCAACTTGCCCATGGCATTGTACCTAATTCAGTATGTAATGGAGATGTGACTTCATGCACCACATCAAGTGCCAAGAATAGTTTAGCTGTAAAGCTAAACTAGAATACAGTTTAGCTGTAAAGCTCTCTTTTCCTCAGAGCTGTCAGCAGCGAAATTCATCCCAAAGCAGACCAGTATTCAGCTGCAGCACTCCCTGGTGTTGGGAGCAATGATGAAAGATGCTGCTGCCACACAGCATCATACGCGCTGTACCAGAGGCAGTGTCTGTCACAACCAACACTCCACGTTCCTCAGGGGAGCTCCAGTGAAACCGGCAATTGCTGGTCACAGATGTGTCCCCCACAGCACCTTGCTGTTAGCGCAGGGGAGTTCAGTGGGCTCCACATGATCTCCCTGCTTGACTCCACCTGCCCAGAGTCCCCCGCCTCTCGAAAAGCAAATGTCTCACTTACTAACTGCTTAAGAGGTAGCTGAAGCTACAAAGCTGACCTCCACCTTTCCCAAATGTGGTTCAAGCACATGCATCCCTGATGCCCATCTGCCCAGTGTGGTGGGCTGAGGCAAGGAACACTGCACAAGCTGCTCCCTCAAGCAGGACTGGAACATGTGGGACCAAGAACCAGTTTGGCCCACAAGTACTTATTGACATCCCACAGACAGAAGGGATTGACACAATGCAGTAGAACGTCTCCCTCAAGAGGTTGCCTACAGCCCCTTTAATTCCTTTTAAACAGCATTGCTGCCAAAGACATCACCTTCTTGACCTCAAATTTCTGAAATCTTGACAAAAATATATTTTTGAGCACAAAAAAGTAAGGCTTGATGGCCCAATTTAGTAATGGTTTCCTAAAGCTAGACAAGTCAAGCAGAAAATCATCGGTGTTGACTGAATAAACAAGGCAACATTGAGGGTGAGGGAAGTCCAAGGGAACGGATACAACAATCTGGTCGGAAAAATAAGAAAGAACTGAATTATGCACAAGAGCTCGTAGGAGGTGATAAGGGATGACACAGCAAAAGATAAGGCCAAAATAACAACCATGGATGCTTATTTTAGCAGTTCCTGGTTTCTAGTGGGGAGTGCCAATCAGGCTAGAAGTTACAACAATAAGGGTAGGAAATGAGGTAAAGCTGAGCAAAAGTTAAGTATAGGAACCAGCAGAAGAGGGCGGATTAAGAAACAAGTTTATACAAGCTTTTATAAGGAAGTGACTATGTAAAATGATGTGGTTTTTTTGTTTGGTTCTGATTTTTTAAAATCTCATCCTATTTTCTCTAGTGCTTGCGTCACATCTCATTACCTGAGATACAAAATTTTTGTTAATACTTCCCAGAGAGTAAAGCAGTTTTGGTTTTGGTTTTTTATGCTTCAAGCTGCTATCTGATGAATAAAGATTATTATTGCATGTTATATATTAATTTGTAAAGAACACAGTTTAATTTTATGGTTGCAAGCTAACTTTGACTTGCAAAGCATTGGAGCAAACTGGTCTGAAGTCTGGAAGGACAATGCCTCTGCATGATCCTTCTGCACAGAACAGCCCTGTGCGAGAGCAAAGATTCTCCCTTTTTTGGGGGATATGTCTCTGCTGAGGTTTAACATGCACATCCCCTCCCAAGTATTTAATCTGAAGGGCTCCAGCAACTATACTTCTACACTTCCTTCATTTCTTTATTTGTAACTGTAGTAATTTCTGCAGGTACAAAACATAGTGTGACCATAACCAAAACTCCTCCCTGAAGTTTCAATCAACAGTTCATACAATATTAAGTATTTCAAAACAAGATTCATTCTTCCTGTGAATATACTGCTTTACCATTCCCACGGAGCATTTCTTGACATATTTCCTTATTTAAAGCCTTTATAGTACAACATAAACGTAGTACCAGATAAGATCACACTGGTCACAGATACGCAGTACAGCTGTTTAAGACTCCTGCTTCATTCAAAAGCAGCTTGCTTACTCCAGGTGCTGCAGATGCTCCTGCACTAGCACCAACTAAATCTCTAAGATCATTCCAAGCTGAAACACAGCTTGTAAAGGACAAGACACTGTGAGCAAGGGAAGTCCCTTCAGCCCACGAACATGCCCTTCTCAGGGCCGCTGATGCATGGCACGGATGCCTTCGGAAACCTGGAAGAGAACAGCAAGCAATGAGACACCAGAGAGGAAGATGTTCAAGGCATGACGAGCACCTGTTAGGGTCAGGCAACAGGGCACTTGTCCAGAAATCCACTGAATTAGGTAAATACTGAAAGCACTGTGCTGCTTTCAGTATTCTGCAAAAGCTAAGAATTCTCACTGAGAACTCCATTTAGAGATAGCCCTCAGTGCAGCATCTCCTCAACACATGGTAGAAAGCTGTTCAGGCTACCCTGACCCGGCCTAGAGAGCACAGAACATGGTATCCTGTGCTCACTACTCCTCTCTTCAGCTCTCAAGAGGTGATGGAGTAGCCTGAAGTTAGATGTGACAAGATGCAAAGCACGCAGATCTATCAGCCTGGGATTTGGAACATCTGTAATGCCCTGGGCTTTCCTGCTGCCCTGTACCACTGCAATCTGTACCTCTGCAACTCAGCAACAGGCATTTTTCCTGAGAGCAACCTGTGTGTCACTTTTATTATAAAGACTAATGAATGCAGTGAGACAAAGGTATAGAAGGTATTATTTTCCTTTGGGAAAATCTGAGTTAATTAAATAAATGCATTAGATGTGTTTCAAACACAACAGGAATACTACTCAACCTTTCAACCATGTCTCTGCAAAGTGTAACAGACTTCAGATAAACCATCAGCTATGGCAAAAAAACCAGTTTGGATTCCAGATTTCTTTTTTCCTCAAACACTGGACCACAGAGATTGGGAGAGATAACTGCAACAATTCAAAGAAAAATAGCTTCTATTTTGTGTTGCAGATCAGAGCATCAAAGACCTTACTGTCTCTCTTTGGTATTTAATAAATGGGGGAGGAGGGGAAGATACAGTTTAGTGTTAACGCAGACTGAAAAAGGGCAATGCTGAGCCACACAGCTCAATGAAACAGAAGAAAAATACTTAATCATTTCTGAAGGTCACTGGGTCTATGGGAGGCAGCACACTTTTTTTTTACCTGGAGAAGAATATGATTCTGTAGTTTGTTTACTACTTCCTGAAAATACATTTTGCACAGCTAAAAACAGCAAAACAAGAGGTAACATTAAAAAAGCTACCATTGCAGTGTCCTCTCTGACACTGGGCCGCACCTGCATCTGCTGCATCTCCCATCTCTCTCATCACTCACTGTATCATACAAACCAAACCCCAAATCAACAAAACTAGAAAATACCAAAAAGCAGCACCACATTTGATCTTGTTTATGGATTGCAGCACTCACTCAGACAGGAGCCTTTTTGCACTTCCCAGCTTCAAAAGCAAAGAAAAGCTATATTAAAGAAAACAACCACTGAAATTCAACAGCAGTGCCCAGAGGAAAAATGGAGTGCTTCCAAGGCTGATGCACAAAATGAGGTCAAGTTCTACCGGAGACTTAAATAAAACAGCCAAACATGACAGCTACAACTGTTCCCCCACAACCTCCTCACCTTTGTGGGCTCACAGAAGTCCCTTTCACAGCACATGCAGGTACAGCAGCACCACATAAACATCACCGTGCTGCCATGGGCAGCCCCGGCGCTGGGCACTGCCCGAGCAGTGCCGCGGCCATCGGCTGGACCGAGCGCCGGCTGTGCCGCCCAAGCGCTGCTGCCGGACGAGCATGGCTGAGTGCCGGGCCAGGCTGAGCCCTGCTCCTCAGTGGGGAGCTCTGCTCCAGGCTGGGAGCAGGACCAGGACACGGGATTTAAAGCTACAGGGCTTCCCAGGCGCTGTGCAATGCCTGACACTATTTTTAAAACCATACCTTTGAGCCAGAAAAACAGTTTAGGGTAACAGACAACCAAATCAGGAGCAGATCAATAGAGTCCAAGTGACACAGTTCCTCAGCAACACAACATTACAGACCTGGGAGCAAAGGCCAAGCAGAATTGACACTAGAGATTCAAAAATGCACAGCAGGACATAAATCCACCTATAAACTATAAGCTCTAATTATGGCAGTGCTGAAATGGTATTTAATATTCACTAAACAAAATTTCCGAATATTAGCATGATCTCCTGGAAGGCTGAACCTCTAATTTTGTCACAGAAGGACTCCAGTTCAAAACAAAGACAGCACAGCACTGTTACTACAGCCGACTCTGGAGCATGAAGAAACCTCAGCACCTCTTATCCCCTACCCTCAACTTCTTTGTCAAAGAAAATGTGTTTTACTATCATATTTCAAAGAGGTAAAGCAAAGGCTCATTATCCTGACAGCTCTGACTCACAGCACCTTATGCCACCCAGCCCCACTCCTTCAGACTCATTTGTAAAAAGCCACCCTCACCCCCATGGCTACTTCTCCCCTTGCTCTTCTTTGTCTCACTGACATTCTGTTTGTAGCAAATATTATCACTCGCCCAGGTCAGAGACAAGATGATCCAAAGACAAGCCATACATAATCTAAGTCTGGGATCTTCAGAACCATTATAGTTAGAGTATGCAAAGTGCTCCCAAGGCTGAAATACCAGGAACCACCAAATCTGACAGGAATGGAGTGGGGAACTTTTAGGAGTTCCCCACTGCATGAATCCTGAAGCATGTCCTGAAGCCACCATATTAACACAAGGACTGAACTTTCTCATTTTAATTTATATATGTCCCTTTGAGGTAATGACTCTTCGAGGCTCTGACAGACATCACAGTGCTACGGTTTGGTAGGTTTGGGTTTTTTTCAAATAATTTTCTTCACTTGCAGTAATGCACTGGTAATGTGAAGAAATTCTGCACTGAAATGTTAATTCCTAAAACATAAATTTCAGGAACATAACAGAGGAGAAACTCCTGACTGACTCAGATCACAGGTAATGTGGAAGAAAATATTCCTATGTGCAAAATTTGGTTTTCATTAGGAAAAAAGAGGAATTAAAACCCAAAAACATGTTCTGTAAGAACCAAAATTAGAGAAAGAATAGCTGAAAATCCATTTGTCTCAAATTATATTGGTACGTCAGGTGGCACTTCCGAAAAAGCATTAGGATGAAATGGCAAGGGCATTGTACGGGCCATTTAGAACAAACAGGAACTGAAAATGGAAACACTCCATAGGGCAGGAGAAATGACATCTGATTCATGAAGGAAACAAGCCATGTCGGGGTGGAGATGTTAAATGATACGGCCCTAAAAGCATTTCTGTGGTAATTTCTGTGATGTCAGAGAACAGGACATGAAGGACAATGGATGAGGGACAAGGCAAGAGGAAAGTGGATCTCAGAAGAGTATGTGGTGCAATTTCTGCAACTGGGTCACCTGCAGTCGCCATCCCCCCATGGCAGACAGCTGCCTGGTGTACCTGGACCCTGCAGCGGGGAACTGAGGGAGCAGGTACCAGCACTGGTGCCAGCAACGCCGCTCCCACCCTGCTCCACGGCACCAGCTGCCTCAGAGCCGCACCTGTCAGCGGGTCTGCGTCTTCCTGCGAAGAGTCCAGGCAGCAGCCCTGCCGTAACCAAGACCAAGATGTGCAGAGAACGCCAATGAAAATGAAACTACCGCAACTGACCATAATATAATGGATTCCAAACTGCAACACACTGACATGAAAATGACTGTAAACCCCAGAAACTACAGGAAATCTAATTCAACTGACATTTGCATTACTATTTCTCTGTGGCTATTTTCAGGGTTAAATGGTAAAAGGATGTCTAAAAATTTATCAGCTTATGGGAGTATTAGATACTGATAGTCTTTGACTATTGAGTACACTAACAAACACATTCAAGCTGTAAAAAAGGCTCTTAAACAGAAACACTGGTATTAGTCACTGACCTGTACCAAACAAGGATCCCAGCCCACATCTGCCCCATCTCTGTGATCATCCACTCGTCCAGCAGGGTCTCATCACAAACACCCTGACCATACTGCACAACACTGCGGAGAGCGCCTGACTCCATCCATTGTGCCGCAGAGCAACGGGGAGCAACAACCAGGCCAAGAGGCATCCACTCTGTTGCAAGAGTCTAGTGAGAGTCCTCTATTAAAAAGCCACTGTCTAGGCTAAATGCAGAAATGGAATAATTTCTATTCTTGCACAAGTTCAGAGCACACACTGGATTTGGAATCAAACTCTAACACAACAGCAAGAAATGTAGCGAAAAAATAAGTCTCTTTTTCAAGGAGCTGTTTCAAATTCATATGGCAGATTTCCCTCTCAGAAAGCAGTATTTATACTGAGAAACCTCCAGATGCCCAAGATATTTTTTCTGTTAACAACAGCAGATCTGATTTAATAGGGGTGAGAGGGAAGGACAGTGAAATTGCTTGTGCAGAAAAAATGCCATTAGACTTATTTAGAAAGCAGTTGATGTTGGGTGCAACCCAGTCTGATTCACATGAATTTTACTACTATTCAGATAGATCATTTCACCACATAAAGCAATAAACACATCCATGAAAATATGCTAATTAGTCTACTTAATATAATCAGAGAGCCTTCAAAAGTTTTATTGCTACAGAGCAATAAAACCAAACCCAGCCTACCAGGCTGAATTTCACCACCAATAAGAGGACTCTGTCTCACTCATCCAAAAGGAACCCATGCTTTCTTCAGTGAGTTCGTATGGCAACAGAGCACTGGTGTCCCATGCTGTAAAAAGGAGACATCTATACCCACAAAGAAATAAAAACATCATACAAAGAGCATCAGAAGCCACTCTTCCACGCAAACAAAATTCAAACAGCTCTGGCAGGTCTGTGCAGGTCTCACTGCTGCAGGAACTCCTGCAGAATTGTGACCCTCACCTCCCTTCTGTGACAGCCTGACATACAGGAGACAGTGGCCATTGCAGCTGGAGCCAAATGATGGCATCAAGCCTCAGCTACACGGGGAAAGACAGACATTCCAAGTGCCTCAGCCAAGAACTAAGTCTCCTCACTTGAGCCAGCACTGAGAAGGGTAGGGAAGGGATGGGGCACTAAGTACCCTTCCCTGCTACAAGTGTTTTCAGTATGGGGATGCAGCCAGGGGCAGTTTATAGCTTGCCTACATTCTAGAGTATTTTTTTCCTGAAATTACTCAGATGACTAATTGCAGGCGTGGGAGCAATTGAGCTTTGATGGAGCTTAAAAACTTACAGAGATTAGATGCTCATATGTAACAAGATGAAGAACTCTTTGCAGGACCCTTCAAAACCAAAAGGTTTTGGAAAAAAATACAGCAGGGGCTAAATCTATTTACAAGGAAAAATCTGAATGCTGTTAAATATTAAGTAATGCAAAACATTAAGTGAGAGAGTAAGAAACTAGCAGAAAATTCAAGTTCCAAGTTGCCTTTGTTGACTAGAACGTTGCAGAGCCAGTGAAGACATAATATCCCAATGGCACTCCTGGATCAATAACCTCAGTGATATGAGGCCTCCTGCATAAGGCTTCCTGCTTAATTCTGTGGTGATTAGTAAGTTCCTGCACAGTTGCAAGACTTCAGTCACAGATCCCTGGTCTTGATCCATACTATTCCCCAAATTGAAACCCACCAGACTGTTCCCATGCTTACTGCCGAGGACAAGAGCTGAAGCCACCTGAACATTCTGCTGGCATATACAAATTATGAACCTGTGTGTGATTATAAATGCTACAAGAGCCTAATTGTATGAGGTACCATTTGGGCCAGAAGCACTTTAAGCTAATTCATAATTTAACATTTATCTTCTAATTTAAGATCTTAGATTTCAAAGTCACCGCACAGAGCTGGAGTACCCCTCCTCTGTACATACCCATTGGAACAAAGCCAGTTTTGACTATATTTGTCTTTTGCAGATTTCCCTCAGAGGATGCGCTGCACAGGACTTGCTTTCTTTTTACTAGTCACAGATTCTTGCCCCAGTTTTAATCACCAGAAGAAAAATAATCTTCCCTTTCTCCACACCTGTTTCCAGAAGTACTCCAAATGTTTCCATTAGCACTTGGGGGTGGGGTGGGGAAATGAGAGAGAGAAAGGTTATTTAATAAATCCTGCATCCTATAGCACTGATGTGAAGTGCAGCCCTACTGATGGGACTTTTCATAACCAGTTCAGCACAAAACCACCACCGGGAGTCTGAAGGAAAGACCATGGCAGGCTGAGACCACGCAGCTCACAACTGGGGTACCCACAGCCAGAGCAGCTATCACTCAGCAGATGTCCCCAGGGACAATGTTGGAGAGGGAATGGCTGCCAAGGATGGGCAGGTCACCCTTCAGGAGGTATCAACACCAAGGACATTTCCCAAAGGCATTGTTGTGATCATTGCTGCATCAAGTTGACTCACCCACAGAAATAATGAAGGAAATCCAGCTG